CCAGGCTGGTCTCGAACTCACAGCAATCCTCCTGCCTCAGCCTCCCAAGTGCTGGGATTATAGGCATGCGCCACCATGCCCAGCTTCTTATTTTATTTTTCATTTTCATTTTCATTTATCTTACTAAATTACTCTGGGTGACTTCAAACTTGTGATTCTTCTGTCTCAGCTTCCTAAGTAGTTGAAATTAGAGCTATGTGCTACCATGCCCTGCTACTGTTAAGCATTTATAAAGTATATTCATATGGTAATTCACTTGCTAATCTGTTTAAAAGATTAATCTTGGGCTGGAGATTTATCTCAGTGGCACCTGCCTGCCTAGCAAGTGCAAGGTCCTGAGTTCGATCCCCAGTACTAAAAAATAAAATAAAACATTAAATTTTTTGCAGCTGGATATGGTGGCACACACCTCTAATCCCAGCACTCAGACGGCTGAGGCAGGCGGATTGCCACAAGTTTGAGGCCAGCCTGACCTAAATTACACAGTGAGACCCTGTCTCAAAAACTGGAAAAAAAAAAAGAGAGGGAATTTATCTCAGTGGCACCGTGCTTGCCTTATAAGTGCAAGGTCCTGAGTTCAAACCCTGGTAACAAAAAAAATTTTTTTTTTAAACTTTTTACACTTGGTTGTAAATGTAAAGCTTCACTAAAGGCAGAATAACACCAACACCTTAGCTCCTCACCAGATATCTGGAATACATATACAGGAAATAGGCTTTCTTGCTATTACAGCCATGCAGAAAATGCGCTGCGCGATCATACTCTTTAACATCAAAGTAGGCCTTGGCCAAGGTGTAAGCATCCATATCCTGGGCATCCTCCTATAAAAGAGACAGGTTTACATAAGTGGTTGGGAACAGAACAAAAGCTCATATATAAGAAACAATTCATTAATTTCAGGATAGAGGAAAATTATTTCTCTCCTCCCTAAAACCTAACATATATAGATATATTTTTAAATATTTATTACTGGATAAGACAAAATACTGTTTTGTTTTTTTGCTTCTTTATTTAGTCATCTTTTTTAAGACAGCATCTCATTATGTAGTTTAGGCTGGTCTTCAACTCACCATGTAGCCCAAGCTGGCTTCAAGCTTGCAGCCAACCTTCAGCCTCAGTGTGCTAAGTGCTGGGATTACAGATGTGAACCCCCATACCCAGCTGATGCTTTTTTTTGGTAGTACTGGGAAGGGAACCAAGACCTTTACACTGAACCACAACTCCAGGCTCTTCTCTAATTTTGAGACCAGATCTCTAAATTGTCTAGGCTGGCTTTGAATCTGTGATCTTCTTGCCTAAACTCCAAGAGTGGTAGGCTTACATCATGGGTGTACTACCACACCTAACTCAAAAATATTTTTTCAAGCCAGGCATGGTGACACATGCCTATAATTCCAGCACTTGGGAGTCTGAGGCAGGAGGATCGCCATGAGTTTAAAGCAGCCTGAAAAAAAAAAAAAAATCACACTCAAAAAGTTATATGGTTTCTATAAATTTATTAGGAAGTTGCTATAATATAGGCTATTGTGTAAGGAACCTGAATTCAAATTCCGACTCCTTGGTTTTCTAATTTCAAGACATTAGTGCAAAAGCTACTTAGCTTTTGTGAGCATTTGTTTCGTCTGTAAAGTAGAGCAAAGAGTACTGATTATATAGACTTGATCTGAATAATGTTAAAAAGTCATAAAATGTGCCACATTAATATCTGGCATGCTCTTTCTCCTTCTATCTTTTAGATTCCTATATAAATATAATATACTACTGAGATGGGTATGGTGGTGCACACCTGTAATCCCAGCATTTGGGAGGCTAAATAATGTCACAAGTTTGAGGTCAGGCTGGGCCATTTGTGTGTTTGTGTGTGTGTGTGTTTGTGTGTGTGTGTGTGTGTGTGTGTGTGTGTGTGTGTGTGTATAGTACTGTGAAATTACTCATAGTTTTCATTTTTTTAACAAAGTTTTGCTGAGTGTGGTGGTACACACCTGTCATCTCAACAGAAGGATCAAGAGTTTGAGGCCAACGTGTGCTACGTAGTGCATTCCAACCCAATCTAGATTACATAGTAAAACATTACATTGTCTTGTATCTAGATATCTCCCCAAAGCCTCATGCAGTCAGTCATATGTGGGGCTTTTCGGAGGTAGCTAAATCTAGGGTACGTGCTGCTGAGATCAAGGATGTGATGCTAGGGTTAATCCATGGTGCTATGCTAGGATGAAGGGTGTGATAAAAAAATAAGGGTTAGAAAGAGGGTCACTTGGGGCTTGCTACTTTCTACCTTCTGCCTGTCCTGCTTTGCCAAGAGCTGTTTCTCCTCTGTGATGCCTCTCTGCCATGCCACCCTTCCTTGGAGCCAGCCAACTATGGACTGAAACTTCCACAAACTGTGAGCCAAAATAAACCTTTCCTCCTTTAACTTTGGGTGTTCGGGATTTTTGTCTAAGCAAGGAGAAAACTAAGACACTGTGTCGCAAAAATAAATAAATAAATAAATAAAATAAAAAGTTTTGTTATACATAAATACTGCTGAAGGCACAAAACACAGTTCTAATCTTTACGTTTAAAAAAATGACCCAGGCAGGGGATTTAGCTCAGTGGTTCTGCCACCTGCCTCACAAGCTCAAGGACCCAAGTTTTATCCCTGGTACCAAAAATAAATAAATAAATTAATTAATTAATTAAATTTTAAAAATTAATAAATGAAACCAGGCATGGTGGCGCACACCTGTAATCCCAGCACTCGGGAGGCTGAGGCAGGAGGATCGCTGTGAGTTCAAGACCAGCCTGGGCTACATAATGAGTTCCAGGTCAGTCTCAACTACATAGTGAGACTCTTGTCTCAAAAAACTAAAAAAATCAATCCCCAGTACCAAAAAAACAAAACAAAACAAAACAAAAAACCAAAAAATTAAAAAATAAAAATAAAAAATGAGCCAGGCATGTAATGCACACTTGTAATCCCAGCACTCAGGAGGCCGAGGCCGGAGGACTCACGGGTTCAAGGTCAGCACGAACTACATGAGACCCTGTCTTTAAAATAAAATAAAGGGTCAGGGATTTAGCTCTGTGGTTCTGCCACCTGCCTCATAAGCACAAGGTCCCAAGTTCGATCCCCAGTACCAAAATAAAGACAACAAAATAAAAAAAGATTTGACTACTACATAATAATCTTCAATTTTAGCAACAATTTAAAGTCCAACGTTTTAAAAAAAATAAAGCCCAACGTTTTAAGGTTTACTCTTAACTTTAGATCAAGGCTAAATTATATTAAAATGTTTCTCTGGATGTTTTCAGAAATACTCCTTAGAAAAGAATGAAAACACCAAAAACCCAACAAATTAGTAGTCTGCTAAGTAAATATACCTCATAGCAAGTTGAAAGCTATTACACTAACCAATAGCTAGCACTTCCTAATAATTCGATAATAGGTTTCTATGTCTGTAAAATTCTTGCATTTTATATGAATTCAGGGAGGGGGATATTTACTGAGGCTTTACTTCTCACCTGATACTGTGCTTTATTTACTTAGCCAACAATACTTTATTCTAAAAACAAAAAAAACTTTATTCAGAACCATCAATATACCTAGTCACTACAAAAGCATCTTCCCAAAAGAATTCAAAACATCATACCACAGTGATATATGCACACCCATGTTTATAGTAAGTAGCACAGTTTGTTATAGCTCAATCTAGAAAACAGCCCAAATGCAAACTGTTTTTTGTTTTTTTTTGGTACCAGGGATTGAACTCCGGTCCTTGAGCTTTTGAGGCAGGCAGTGGAACCAGAACTAAATCCCCAGCTCAGCTCAAATGCAAATGAATAAAGATATGGTTTTATATAATGGAATACTACTCTGCCATAAAGAAGGCTAAGCTTGAGACATTTCTGGCCAAATAGACGCACCTTAAGACACCATAATCTTAAGTGAAATAAATCTGACACTCATGTTTAAATATTACATTCTTCCACTGGTATGAGAAACTGAAAGTGAAAATAAGGATCTAAATGTATAATAGATTTTGGGAAATGAGAAGAAAATGTTCAGGGGCAGATTTAGCTCAGTGGTGCTGCCACCTGCCTTGTAAGCACAAGGTCCTGACTTGGATCTCTGGTACCAAAAAAAAAGGAAAGAAAGAAAATATTCAAATGAGAAGGGGAAAAAGGGAGGGAGAGGGGTAAAGGAACGAAAGGACAAGGGGGGAAAAAAAGAGAATGGAAGAAAAAATGAAAACAAAGCTTTGGAAAGGAGAAGTGTTGAAGGGAGGGGAGGGGAATGGGAAAAAGAAAAAGCAAGGCATATCATGTATCCTTATGGTGAGTGTGATCATTATGTATACCTAAAGTGTACCAATAAAAATAAAATTTATAGGGCCGGGGATTTAGCTCAGTGGTTCCGCTGTCTGCCTCCCAAGCGCCAGGACCCAAGTTCGATCCCCGGTACCAAAAGAAAATAATTTAAAAATTGAAATGATGAAAAAAACGAATTTTATTGAGTCCTCTTGCCTAGTACGCCGCTAAACAATATGCCTATTATTCACATTTCATTTCATTCTCTCAATATACTCCAAAGTAGATAACCATTATTATCTACAATTCATAAGCAAAGAAACTGTGGCTTAGGAGGTTAAACTGCCCAAAGTCACCAACTGGCTGACATTTAAAACCAAAGCCCATCGCTTCTCGGCCTTTTGGCTAAGATCACGTGTAAAACCAAAGCCCACTCTCTTAACCATGGAAGTCTGGAGCAGACTGACTGCAAATCAGAGGTCAACCTAGATAATTTAGCAAGATCTTATCTTTAAAAAAATCGCCCAGTTGCAAAAATGTTAATTCTTCTCAACTTTATAGGCATTTTTTACGTTGGGCTACAAAATCGAAAAGCTGAAATTTTAAGCAATGATTGTTTACTATTTCTCTACCGCTTGAGAGTACCCAATGTTTCAAAGCTCACCAAAACCGCATGGGTAAAACCGCTAATTACGACACCCAGCTCTTCCCTCTACAGACATCCTGCTAAGCGGCTGGCTGCCCCCGGTGACGGGCGCTCCAGTGCGAACGCCCTTACCTCTGTAATAGGCGGCGGCGGCTGCAGCTCGGCCAGAGGCAACGCGGGCAGAGAGAAGGCCAACTCCGCGGACCTGGAACACAAACCCATCATGCTGACAAGACCCCCGCGGCCACGGATCCGAGCCCGGCCCCTCCCAACCCCGACATCTCACCACTTGCTACTGTGCAGCAGGCCCCGCTCCCGAGTAAGGCCGGCAATAAGCAGCAACTGCTTTTTAATTTCCCGCAAATCTGAGAAATCCGCGTTCGTGGACAGGCCGGGCATCACAACAGCCGTCACCGATACAGGGACTAAAGAGGTACTGGCGGCCATTTTCCTCACTCTTTGCTGTAGCCAATTACCGGCGATAATACTAGCTACCTCAATGCATCAAAAAGACCTGCCTGCCATTGGTCAGCACTTACCCTAGAGCAACCAATCAAAAATTGTTACCGTAACGCATCGAAGAGGCGGAGGGGGGAAAAAGAGAAAATTATATTCCGATTGGACAAGAGCTCCAGAGGCGGGAAAATTAGAACAAGGGGGTGGTGGTGAGGGGAGGCTCCAAGCGGGGCAAAAAGGAATGATACACTTGAAGGGTTGGCTGGATAGCAGGGGTAGGAGTATGGGCAAGAAGAGAAGAGAGCTGGGCGTGGTGGTGCAGGTCTGTAAACACAGCATTCTAGGAGGCTGAGACAGGAGGATTGCAGGTTCAAGCCCAGCCTGAGCGGCCTAGCAAGATAGTACCTCAAAATTTTAAAAAATACATAAAAAGGGCAAGATCCCTGAGTTTAATCCCTAATACACAAATAAATAAATAAAACAAAAGGAGGAAAATATTACAAGTGTAATCTGATTTAACTCAAAAACAGCACACATCCTTTTTTATTTTTTAAACCCAAGGCCTCGCACTTGATAGGCAAGCGCTGCACCACTGAGCTATATTTTCAACCCTACCCCCCTTTTAAATTTGATTTTTGGGACAGGGTCTCCATAAATTGCCCAGGCTATCTTTGAACTCATGATCCTTCTACCTTGGCCTCCTGAGTAGTACAGGCATGCACCACCATGCCAACATCATCATCCTAATTTTATGGACCAAAAAAAAAAAAAAAAAAAAAAATTTGAGAGAATGTGGCGGCCCAGCCGTCACAACACGAACATGCCTGAGTTGGGGAGTGAGGATTGAGAAAGGAAAGAACACTCAAGCCTGAGTGGAGACCAAGAGAAGTCTGATTTATTTCACAGAAACAGCTCCTTTTATAGGCTCACATCAACAGGAAGCACCAAGCAACTATTTGTATCTTTCATGCAGACTGGATTTTCTGACTCTTGACAAAGAACATCAGATCTGTGGCTGTCTCTTTGAGTTTCTCCCGTTGCAGGGTCAAAAAACAATTTTAACAAGCAGAGTCCTAGAAAAGTAACAAATGTTGCATAGATTGCATCAATGCCTTGAGTGTAGAGGTGAGGAAGTTTCCTTTTAAATGTCAAAGCCTAGAGGGCGATGGCTGGGCTCCCACAAGAGAAGTTCAGGAGAGTCTAGATTGCTGAGCCAGTAAGGAATCCACCTCTCACTTCATGGTCCTTAGTTCTTTGTGCTCTTGAAAGAATTCAGTCAAGCTATGTGGGCAGCACAGAAGTATAGGTAGAATTCTTAGGCAGTGCCAGGAGGCATCTGCACTGAGTGGGTTTGGATACACTTTCACGCACACAACAGTTACTCCTGGGGTTCAGAGAATCAGGATGAGTTATGATGGTTATAAACACTTCACTTAGAAGTTACTTTGGAATTGTAAAATGTCTTTTTGTCCTTTTCAGATGGTCAGTATTTCCTCGGGGGCTTTAATCATATAAGGAACTTTCGAAGGAAGGTTTCTTCTTAATTTAAGACAGGTCCCAGCCAAGGCAGGAGGCTCTTTAAGGAACGTTTCCCAGGTCAGCTGTGGTGGTGCTCACTAGTGATCCCAGCACTCCTGAGGCTGAGGCAGAAGAATCGCAGCAGGTTCAAGGCCAGCCTGCACTACACAGTGAGACCCTGTCTCAAAAAATAAAATAAAATTTAAAAGGAACATTTCCCTTCCTGGTGTCATCCAGCTAAAGGCTACAGCAGCCAGGCGTGCGTGCAGTGTGCCTTGCTCTGGAGTTGGACGGCCAAGTGGCCAGGTACCAGAAGGAACGTTCGCGACTGTAACCTGAGGGTATCACTGTGCACTGAGGGGTCGCTTTGGGTCTGAGACCTAACAAATGGTTATAAATGTAGTGTACACTGGAGGCTTTCTTTAATTAACTGGCAAGACAGTCTACCTTGGACACCAGCCGCCCTTGTTCCTCAGGCCCCTTAATGCCCAACTACCTGACTAGCAGATTACAACCCAGATCTGACTTCAAAATCCAGTGTTCTGAAATATTACTGAAGAGGGCTGGGCTGTGCTTAGTGGTAGAATCCCTGCCAGGCATTTATGAGGCCTGGGTTTGATCTAAAGGAAGGAAGTAGAGAAGAAAGGGTGAAAAACTGGGCACCGTGGCACAAACCTTTAATCTCAATTTCTGGACGATTGACACAGGAGGATCACAGCCTGGGCAGCGAGGCAACTTCAGAGACTCTGGTTTCAAAAACTGAAAAAGGGTTGGGGCTGGGTGTAGTGGCACACATCTATAATCCCACCACTCCGGAGGCTGAGACAGGAGGATTGCCACAGGTCTGAGGCCAGGCTGGGTTACGTAGTGAAACCCTATCACACACACAAAAATCCCCAAGGGCTGGGGACTTAGCTCAGTGGCGTGGTGCCTGCTTCACAAGTGCAAGGTCCTGAGGTCCTGAGTTTGATCACCAGTACCGCTAAATAAATAAATAACGGGCTCGGTATGTAGCTGTGCCAAGGCCCAGGGTTCAACCCCTAGTTTTAAAAAAAGTGCTTGAAGATTTTTTGGTTTTTTTGGTTTTTATCACCTTTTTTGTTTTTAATCCAAGAGTCCTTTTATAATAATACACAGTACTATCTTACCAACTTTCTTGAGAATTTTTTAGCCATTTTGTCATTTTGCGGGGTTATTTAGAAGTGATTTTAGGTAAGGCATGTTCTTTGAGATTAATTTATGGTTAATAGAGTCAGCTTTATTATATATTTCTCCTATTTTTTATTTTATTTTATTTTTTTGGTACCAGGGATCAAATTCGGAAACCTTGTGCTTGCGAGGCAGGTGGTGGCCCCTTTGCTAAATCCCAGCCCTCGCCTCCTTCTTTTTGACAGAGTCTCACTACTTAAACTTGCAGTGATCATCCTGCCTCAGCCTCCAAGTGTGTACCACCACACCCATCTCCCCCACCCTTGGGAAGGAGCTGAGGGTAGAGCTCTGAACCAAACTACCCGGATTCAGGTCATTCATTGATAAAATGAGGGTCAGAATGCACTGCCGTGTCCAGGGCCAGGTAAGGCTTGGTTTGGTTTGGTTTGGTTTTTCTGGTAGCCTTCACACTGGGCTATATCCCCAGCCCTTCTTTTCTTTTTATTGTGAGACAAAAGTCCAGGCGAGGCTCACACTTGAAATCCTCCTGCCTCAGCCGCCCAGAGTGAGATTACAGTTATGTGGCACCCCCACCTGGCTTACTTGTTTCTTATTTATATATTTACTCTTTATAAATCATTCTCAAATGTTACTGAAGACGAGTAGACTTTTCCCCTTTCCAGATGATACTATAGAGGTGCCGTGATGACTAGAGATGTGTACTACTCTTGTGGTTTCCATGAGGGAACAGATGGCCCACTTTAGGGGTTAACCAGATATTCAAAAGTAAAGAAAACCAGGACTCTGTGTCTGTAGTTCAAGCTTCTTCCCCCATACATAGCTGCCTTTTGTTTTTGTTTTTAGGAGGCAGGGTCTCTGTGTAGGCCAGACTGGTCTCATGCTCACAGCAATCTTCCTGCCTCAGCCTCCTGAGTGCTGGGATGACAGATGTGCACCACAACACCCAGCTCAGATGCCACTTCTAAAAGCAGTTCAAGATTGGGATCCAGAACATCTGAGATCTGCCATGATATACCTGTAATATTCCTTTCTCTTCTCTCTCTCTCTCTTCCTTCCTAGGCTGCAGTTTTCCTCTTGGAAAATGACAGAGCTAGCAAGGCGTGGTATAGCACACGCCTGTAACCCCAGCACTCGGGAGGCTGGGGCAAGAGAATGGCTGTAACTTTGAGGTCAGCCTGGAAAACACAGTGAGTTCAAGGACAGCCTGAACTACAAAGTGAGACCCTGTCTCAAAAAACAAACAAAAAAAGATAGGACCAAGGGTTTAGTTCAGTGGTGCCACTGCTGGTCTCTCAAGCATAAGGTTCTGAGTTTGATCCCCAGTACCAAAAAAAAAAAAAAGATAGAGCTAAACAAGATGACTTCTGGGGTACCTTCCACCTCCGCTAAACTCCAGCTGCAGATTGCTGCCTTCAAACTTAAGAGTGGTGGAAGCGACTTCCTTGTTTTTGGTTTGGTTTCACGGTTTCGTTATTTTATTTTTTCTGAGACAGGGTCTCATTAAAGTAACTAAACTGCCTGGGCTGGGCTTCAACTTTTGATACCCCTGTCTCAGTCTCCCAGAGTGCTAGAGTCACAGGCGTGCATCCCCACCCTGGGCTAAGAACAGTCGAGCCGGCACGTGCCTCGGAGCTGCAGGGATTGGGTTCTGAGAGCAGAGCAGTACCCACCAGACCCAGGAAGGCAGAGGACCCAAAAGCTCATTTCCTCTATACTCACTGTACAGCAGTAGGGTATTGGTGGCCTCCTTGTGAGGGCTCATAAATCCATGCTGTAACTGATCAGTTCACAAGAAACTGCCACAGGTACACAGCTGCTTTTACCGTCTCTGTTGAGAAGAAAATGTATCAGAAAAAAAGAACGAAAAGACAGGGAGGGCAAAAATGTTAACATTTACTTTAGCTGATTACTACACACTTTGTGTTCTGATCCTTACCATGGTCTCATGTAATCAATTAATTAATTCTTTTTTGGGGGGTGTTTGAGACAGGACTCACTATGTAGTTGAGACTGACCTGGAACTCACTATGTAGCCCAGGCTGGTCTCGAACTCACAGCGATCCTCCTGCCTCAGCCACCTGAGGGCTGGCATTACAGGCATGCATCACCACACCTGGCATTCCTGCCTCAGCCTCCTGAGTACTGGAATTAAGTGTGTGCCACCGTGGCCTGCTGTGTGTGTGTGTGTGTGTGTGTGTGTGTATTTTTTTTTTTTTTTTTTCTTTTGGTACCAGGGATCGAACTCGGGCCTTGTTCTTGTGAAGCAGGCAGCGGAACCACTGAGCTAAATCCCCTCCCCAATTAATTATTTCTTTCTTTTGTGTGTGTGTGTGTGTGTGTGTGTGTGT